ACGCTACTGTGTTTCGTATGATGAGTGTAGGGAACCAGAGACGCGTTTTACTAGAAAAGAGATATTCCATATTAATCCACATGGGTGACAACGCATCTGCATTTAGATTCGTGATCGAGGATTAATGTCCTACGAGCCGCACAACTACTTACCATCAGGTGGACTGTGGGCTCGTTTGTCACCCTTATCATATAAAAACATATTATAAATAAAATGAAAATGTTTGTATGCAATATCGAAAAAATTGCCTTCGATTGAGCAGAGGGGATATTTGGATGTCATCAAAATATGAATAACCGTTTAAAAAAAATTGTCTCTTTGCGTTTGTCCTGGCTTACCATCGGAATGGCAGAACTAATTTTAATAAAACTTAATGAAAAGATAGAGAGCTATACCAGGACTGATCCGGGCTATATTAAATTCGAAAAAACTTGGAATTTTATTTGTTAAGAAATGTAATAATTGATAAAATAGCGAAGCCGGGATGAATATGCTAGTCTTACAAATATAAAAAGGTCAAATCTAGACAAGGTATAAAAACACAGAATTTTTTTTTAATTTATAGTTTATTTGATGATTGCTTTTTTTAAATGAAACCGTGTTACAAAACCTAGATTCCTTTATTAAATCTATCTTCATAATTATTTTTCAAGATTGATATAAAAACGAATGTGTATAAAATGATAACAATAAACAAACACCAATCTAACAATAATAACCTAAACAATTTAACATACTCATTACTATCAACAAAATTCGAATTTTCGGTGGGAAATCAGATTGAAATGTATGGTTAAAGTGAGAAATAGAAATTTATATACAATATTCGTGTATATAAATTTGTGCACAAAAAAAAAGAAAAATTACGGTTGGAAATAATAGGAGGTTATAGGTAATACCACCAATTATAAACTTAAAAGTTTGCTGTTTAGTTTTATAAGTATAGTTTTATCTAAGTATTTAAAATATCATAGATATAAAAATATAATTAAAAAGGAACAAAAATATACAATGATTAAATTCAACTTCTGTTCAAAATTACGTCACATATTTGCTCTCAAATTTATCGTAATAACAACTTACATAAAAATATTTACACGTAAAAATATTAACATAGAAATATCATAAAAACAATTTATATGGTAATTAATATTGCATCCTTCATGAATAAAGTATACTACGTGTTGATGCTGGAAAAATGTCAGTCTGAAAACCTGGAATGTTTTAAAAAACAAGTTACTTAATTCAACTTCATTTAATTATTAATTGCTGACTAAGAATATACATAGTGATGTGCAATTTTGAAGTATAGTATTTTATATACAATTTTATTGAGCTAATTGGAACATAATATACAAACTACGTTTATTTTATTAGGTTTAAGGTTAATAACCACAATTTTGATTAAATAACTCCAACCAAAATTCCCTTAGATATTTAATTATAAAAATAATTGTTAGAAATTTAAAAAAAGTTGTACATGTGCACATGTGCTCCATATTTATTTAATTACGAGGATTATTGTTATGCAAATGCATTTGACAAACATAGCCTATAGCTATTTATACTCGTATTCATTGATTGAAAATAATAGAAACATCGTAGGTTGAACGGACTGTTTGATAAAGTTCAATAAAATAAATGCAACATTATCTTTGGCTTCGCGAGTTATAAAACAGATTAGCTGTAAATATTTGGCACATTCCTGTTAAATTTTATTCTCTTCTTTTTTAAATTTTACGTTGTTTTAATTGTAATCCATTAACAAACTGTTACTAATATTTTGTACATATAAGACAATAACAAATTCAGGTATTTGCTACTCTATGATATGTTAATTATTCCAAAATGAGACTCTTCAGAAGTCTTAAAAATAAATAGGAATAATAAAGGGAATGTATATGTCGCAGCCAAACAGTTTAATTAGCCGTTCAATTAACAGCCTAGCCTTTTTACTAAACGGCACCTTTCAACTAACGGCCTGAATGATATTCAGCTGATGAGTCTAATACAACATTGCACCTATCTTGTAAATCCAGACACAGTAGGTTAAGATGCGACTTTAGGGTGATCTAAAGCCGCTTTTATTTATATAATATAACACATAGAGCATAATTAGGCATGAAATGTTAAATACATCGGCTGAAATATATTAACTAAATATCATTAAGGCTAGTTAAAAGTTAAACGGCTGGGCTGTTATTTGAATGGCTAATTAAGCTAGTTGACTGCGACGTATAAAGTTCACTAATTTTTTAGATTTAATTTAGATTGTGGGTGAATTAGAGTAATACTGTCTCCAACAGAACATTAAAAAAATCATTTTGTGTCTGTATTCTCTCCAGAACATTAAAAAAAATCATTCAAGAAAGATTTCTTAGAAATGTTAATTGCATAATTTTTATGTTAGTACAATATTCAATATAATATATTGATACTATGATAAAGTAGTATAAGAACCCGTACACTGTTCTAGAATGATTTTTAAATTTACGACCTTATTTATTTTTAAATTTTAAACGTGTTGGATTCTGAAAAATTTCATAGCATTTAGGTATAAAAAAATGGCTGTTACATGATTTCATATCTCAACTTGAAACTTGAATGACGCGCTCATGTACATTTTGAAATCTTTATTTAACAATTCTCAAAAAACGTTAGTTTTATATCTTTACAAACATCTATACGATTATTTATAATATCTATGGCCTCTTGCTTTTTTCTAATTAAAATATTATCTACTCGTGTTTTGTATTATATTATTTACAGGTTTGACTTTGTCTAACTTTTACATTTGGCTTATTTTCAAACGTAAAAATTATTTATTATTCTAAATAACTTCGTTAATTAATAGAATCAGGCGTCACTTTGCGGAAATCCATTATATTAAATGTGGTGTATAATTTAATGGTGGCTGACCACTAAGTGAATTCACTTAGCGGTCAACCACCGCAGTCTACATCACCTGGGGATGCCTCGTGCGAAACACTTGTCGTATTATCGTCGATAGTGTGTCTTACCTAGTGTAGTGGTGTCGGGAGTAGTGGTGCTGGGATTAGTGGTGACGGGATTGGTGCACGCAATTGAGGGAGGGCGGGAGGTGCTCTTCATACTAGGTGAGACACATAATTTTATTTTATTGAGCGGATGTACGCGAATTAATCCTTAACAACTTTAATAACTCCGTTTTCGTATGCGATTAAGATAATAGTATTTTGTTATACCATTGCAAATTTAATTCGTATCATTTGCATCAATTTCTTTCATTAAATAATTGATATGTTTGAATATAAGTTTACAAGCAGTTCTTCCCTTTTCATCGTATTTGAAAATTTTACAATGGTGCCATTAATATTATAAAAAAAGTACTTAAGTCAAACATCAATGTTGTTACTTTAACGAAAAGCAATGGAAAAAATGTTAAAAATCTTTAACTGTTCGTTTTCGTAACAGATCTAAAAATATGGTGCGTGCTGTTTTTTTTATTTGTATTTAAGGGGATATAGTAAGTCAGCCCAAATTCTAATTTCGCCCTCACTTCCCCGCGCGTCCTATGCTATGTACCGACATGTTTGTAATCACTAATACTGTAAGTAGATAGGTCATTAGATACTTATTTCATTAGGTTTATCATATTTATGCCTGTTTCTTAACGCCAACCCAGTCGCTTCTTATTTTTATTATGGTTATTTCCCACTTTAATTTTACGTCGTCTTGTTGCGTAATGTGTATTCTGATCGTAAGCGACACAACTTCTCCCTTCAAAAGCCTAAGCGAAACTGACCGGGCGACAGGAATCGAGCTTCAAGACGCCGATAGTTTAGGTAATTTCTTTTTACGGTGAAAATAATGGTATTTTAAAAAAAGTAAATAACATAAGCACTGCTTTAATAGTTAGTTCAGTTAGTATGCAAAGTTTCATGATCTTATTTAAAGTATTTTATGATAACAGCGGTTTATTGCAGTTCAGTTTGGAGGTAACTTTGGATTTTTTTTATATCGAGAAAATTTTACGGAATCGTGTTTTCGTCTAACATAGTCCTTAACATTAATCCTCAACTTTACCATATATTTATTTCAAAATTAATGCTGCAATACTTTCGGCATAACGGAGGATCTTGCTAAGCCATTTGAGGTTATATTTCCCCTTAATACAATGTGGAATGAAGATTTACCAAGGTACGTGAGGGTAATATTGCCCTTATGCTGTGCCGCCCTATAAAACTAGGTGGAAGACAGAGACAAAACTTCAACGTCGTATACTTAAACTAATACATTAAGAAAAAAATAGCAAAGAAGCTTTGGCAATCATTAGGAACACTACAAAAAATCGACGCTAAAAAAGACTAACTATACTACACAGCACTAAAATCGAAAATATTTACTGTAATGGCAACTGTAAAAATGGTGTCGACGAAGCAGCGCCCTATTGACCCCTTTATATTTGATTGACTGATGAACAGCTATCGTGTCACAGAATCATCTATGCAAACAAGGCTGCAGTTTTTGAGTTATAAGAAAGTGACCATATTAACCGGATGACCATATTACCCTCACGTACTATAGTAGGGCTAAGTACTAGTAGATAATGTAGTATAGTAGATAATTGGGTTTAAGTTTTTCAAAACCAAAACATAAATTGTTATCAAAATTTGCATTAACTGTCTTGATGAATGGCTTAATCCTCAATGAAACACCGGCAACAACCCCTTGAAACCAAAAGTTCATTCAATATTGAACTAAATATCTGCTTACCTGATCCTTTTTTTTATGTTAACAATTTTTTATTGGAAGAACATTTTAGATTATTTATTCTATATTCACAACTGTCTATTTATTCTAACACCATTCAAGTACATCACTTTCATAGTCACTTGTAATAACAAATTCAGTGGTTCAGTCTTTTCACCTTACACACTATCAGGGCTATCCCTCTCTTGCATGGACGTAGAAGGTCGCTCCCAATGATGTATAGGCCTGGCTGGGAGCGGTACCGGTCTTCATATAACATGCTGGGGCGGTTCTTCATCGCTCTTCATAAGGACGTACGCCAAAGGTCGTTTCACGTCAGTTGTAGGAGGTGACGGAGACCTTCTTGGAGGACATCCGCAAGGTGAGAGGGCGTTGCTGTAAAACGCGCTGCTGTATAATGCACCGCCATATAGTGCCTGCAGAAAAACGTAACTTTTTACAATATTGAGCTTTCATTATTTTTCTATCAACAGGATAAAATAAGGTTTTATGCGTTGTAGAGCCATGCTGCAGCTATATTGTGGTTGTACCATGAGTGGCTCGGCTCGACCAGGGACCACGCTCTTACAAGATACCAGCGTAACATAGCAGCTCTATGTTGCTCTGTTTCGTATGGTGAGTGTGGAGTACCGGAGAACTTTTTTACAGGAAACAAGGCATTCCATCTTAGTCCTCAGGGGTGGCAACGCATCTACATTTTGATTCTTAATAGAGGATAAATGTAGATGTCTATGGGCCACAGCATCCACTTAACATCAGGTGGATTGTGTGCTCGTTTGTCACCCTTGTTCTATAAAAAAAAGTAAAATTAGTGTTCTGCTTGTGTGTACATATGCGTTTTGGATGGATTGCGATCAGGTGGATTGTTTGCTCGTTTGTCACCATGTACAAAACAAATCCAGAAACTAATCTGATGTTATGGCTAACTGAACCGTGTATGTTTTGTGATATTGTCATACCTACATGTGTATTGTGTGTTTACTTTTTAAATAAACAAATAAAATACACTACTTACCATCAGGTGGTCAAGCAGGAACCAAGCATTGTTTAGTAAAAAGGAGCAATTTTCTCGCCTAGACCGTCCGGTTGCCTAATGCAATCTAATCTGTTCCTAAGATCGCCAATGCGTCAGCCAACCGTGGCGATTACGAAAATCGACATATCATATACAGAAGTAGACAGTTACGCGCTTAAAAGAGAAGTACAAAATATAATTTAAATTGAAACTGAGAAAATCTATTTCTATAATTTCTATTCTTTCTGAGAATGTTTGAGTTTTGATCTTTGCTGTTATTTTGCGTTAATTACAGTATGTTTAAGTCTTCCTTTATAAAATTTAATTCGGCATATTCCTGTGACTAAGAATGAGATTTAGCGAACTTTAAGCGGTGAAACTGAAAAGTTAATTACCATAAAAGTTACTTACCATATAGATATTAGTAATAAACTCATCTACGCCCAGGCTACGAGTAGTTAACTCATACAGGACATTAGTGTAATGGTTAAAAATACGGGCTGCATAGCTAAAAGTTTTAAGTTCGAATCCACGATTGGATTACTCTAGTGCATTTTATAATAAGCGAGAGTTTTACTTATCTCAATAGTATTGCTAGAATTTTTGAAAATATTTAAATTTGAATTTTAACTGGCATCAGTAAATGTACTGTAAAAAGGAAAGTCGCAGCGTATATACGTATTTCTGAGAGGGTTATAAAGTTATTGGTTCGCCACGAAATATTTTATTTCCTATACATGCAGCTTTTCTACACCGTCAAACACATGGTAAATAACTACTTAGGACTGCAATTAACAATCTCATTAATAATAGCGAGGATCGAACTTTTTTTTACCGACTTCAAAAAGGAGGAGGTATTCTATTCGGCTGTATGATTTTTTATGTGTCTAGGTGACCGGATTTTGATAATTCTTTTTTGTGCTTCTCATGTGATCCTATATAAATTTAATCAAGATATGACCAGTAGTTTTTGAGTTATTTTTGATAATGCGTATTTAATTGACTTCGAATACATTGATAATGTTTTAATTTTAATTTTATTGATGTCGCTTGTACAATTTTTTTAATTTTATCACGTGTATTATTAAATAAGGGTGACAAACAAGCACACAGTCAACCTGATGGCTAGTAGACCTAGTGGATGTTGTGACCCAAATAATCTACATTTATACTCAAGAATAACAAGGCAGATGCGTTGTTACCCCTGAAGACTGAGATGGACTGCCTCATTTCCAGTAAAAAGGGCATCCGGTTTTCTACACTCATTATAAGAAACACAGCAGCATTAAGCTACCATTTTACACTGGTATTCTGTGAAAGCATAGTCCTAGCCCGGTAGAGCTGACAATCGTGCCACAACCGTAATATAGCTGCAGCGTGGTTATACCATGTGTAAGTTCTTGCTTACTGTGACATTTATGGCGACCACTTAGGGTCCTAAACATTTGTTATACCGTGTATGAAACGTAGTAAGCAACACCCACCTGCAAATGTGCCAGCTCCGCTGCTAACTTCCCATCATCGGAAGGTAGCTTTGCGAACGGGTAGAAAGGGTACGGTAGCGGTGGAAATAGTGCCCTCCCAAGATCAGGTTTCTCGGGCAGAAGGTGGTGTGGAACTGGTATCTGTGGCATCGGATGTTGCAGGGACGGCGTGATAAGCCGCGGTACGGGCGCCATTAGACCGCTGATGCCGAACCCGAATTTCGGTTCCTTCTTCACCAGTGTCTTCGGTTTCCTCCGCGGTCGGTATTTGTAATCGGGATGTTCTTTCATATGTAGAGCCCTGTGGGACAATATTAAACTGTTAACATTACAGCCTGTCAAAAAAGTCCCTTGAAGAACATAGGACATAGATTACCTGAGAAGGTGGGATGTTTGTTATAGATGCCACACATTTATACGTGGTAGAGCCATGCTGCAATTATATTAGTAGTATAGTTGTAGCACGAATGGGTCGGCTTGACCGGGGAAGGACCACGCTCTCACAGAATACCAGCGTGAAATAGTAGCTTAATGCTGCTGTATTTCGTATGGTGAGTGTAGAGAACCGGAGACCCTTTTTACTGGAAATGAGGCATTCCATCTCAGTCCTCACGGGTGACAACGCATCTGTATTTTGATTTGTAATGGAAGATAGATGTAGATGTCTATGGGCCGCAGCAACCACTTACCATCAGGTGGACTGTGTGCTCGTTTGTCACCCTATCCTATAAAAAAAAAAATGCCACGCTTGGTAAGCGGGTTGGCAACCGCCATAACCATTACAGCCTACCAAAAGTCTACTGCTGCAAACTGGCAACCTTTTTTTTATTCAACTATTGTCGGAAGATGCTGCTGCCCATCTCCTGAATCAGTTCCCTTCCGTGGCCTCTAACGACGCTCACGGGATGATTATATGGTGATGGGTTCTTTTACCCTGCCTCAGCACAGCACCAGTGAGGACAAGAGTATGCCAATGACTGATTAGTTAAAAAGTAATTACACAAAAGTAAGTAATAATAAGTAATACATATATTTAAAATTAATTTAAAGAAAGAGTCTATGCTTTCGTTCCGTAAAAAAATCTAGCAAAATTGAAACAAGTTTAAGCAAACCAAATTGAACTGAAATAAAACTGATCCAGACTTAAATTCAGGCACCAAAGTATATTTTAGTGGGTTGGAAATTTCATCATCATCACTCCATCTAGTGGGGGATGCCCTACACTTCGTCTGCCGGTATGAGGCTGCCACTCGAGAACCTTTCTTCCCCATCGGTTATTGGTTCTTCGAGCTAAATAATTAATTTTTTACTATTATATTATATTACAAGAAAATTATTCAATGTCCAGACTACTCCCTTTCAAGCCGACATCAACAATATTTTTTTAAGTTCAAAAAAGGTTCGCTTTAGCAGGGATGATAGACATGACAAGGATATAGAACGACGAGTGAATGCAAGACACAGAGTAAATGCGGTTCTTCACTCTATTGTGCGAAATCAGAATCAGAATGTGTCATAAAAGACACGTATGGCAATTAACAATGCTGTTTTAGTATCGTAGTGAAAGTGTGACGGAAGAAATACGAAAATAGAAGAAATATTAAAAATAATTGATCGAAGTGCTATTTAGTATAAATTTGATTAAGATCTGACAAGTAGTTCTTGAGTTATCCTTAATAATGCGTATTTAAATGACTTCGACTACATTGGTGATGTTCTCATTTTATTTATATTGAAGTCGGCTGTGCATTAATTTACCACTTGTTTATTTGTATTTTTTAATTGCTACCAGGTGGCGTTATACATACATAAATTGCACATGGATAAACATCCACACCATGCCAACAACTTGTTCTGTGGGGAATTTGAACCAGTGGCATTGCGGGGTCTCCACCAAACTCTTACGCACTGGGACTCTGTTTTGTTTTATAGTCTCCCTTACCATTCAAATAAAACACTGCAGTGAGTGCACCGTCGTATCGCGGTTGAAATATGTAGGTAAGAGATCACCAATACGAACGGTCTCCTAAGATATAATGAGAGCTCTTGCCTAGAAAAGTGTGTCATTTGATTTTAAAATAATTATCAGACTTATTTGTTACATTATGGCGCAAAATCACAACATCAGTATCACGTTTAATTATTTAATTTCCACAAATTCTATAAGCACGCCGACAAAACGACACAATGAAATGCCACTGGACAGAATATCATTATTATTTATGCAATAAAGCGCACAATTGTCGCGAGCGCGCGCCGCCCTTAAAACAACAATGTCGATTCAACAATGCACGGATTATTGCATTGTCCGAATCACAATCGAGTGTTATTCCATACCCTTCACTATGTACGGCACATGGTCAATAGAATATTAATCTAATATTCATGGAATAAGGTTTAAATTTGAATATGGGTGCGGGTGGTTGCTACGTATAGTCTTCGGGTGTGAGGCGACACTGCGTCCGATTATGCGAGCTTTGTGATAGAATCGCGCGATTGTCAGCGAGTCGATTGTAATTATTCGAATGGACTGAGGGAGAATGATAGTTCGAGTTCGGAATGCTGAGGTTTTCAGTACTGTTTGTTGAATGTATTTATTTGCATTGTATTTTCCATGTGATTAGATTGGGATTGAATCTCTTTATGGATTCGAACCACGACAAATGCTAGCTTTTTTTTTATAGAATAAGGGTGATAAACGCGCACACAGTCCACCTGATGGTAAGCGGAGGCTGTGGCTCACAGGCATCTACATACATCTGTCTTCGATTAAGAATCAAAATAAAGATAACATATATACTAGATATATATTTAATCGAGCCATGGAAGCTTAGGAGCTAAAACCGCCGTAAATTTCACACTATGTGAAAAACTGAATGAATTTGTTAGTTGCTTTTTAAGTACTGATTTACCACCACGCAGGCAAAGGAAAAATCATGAGGAAACCTGTAGGTAGATATGTACGAGAAATAAAATATTTCGAGGAAATTTTAAGATTGCTTCATACCTCTTTCTAAAAATGAGTGGTGGCCTTGTGACCAACCACTTTCACTTGGTCACTTCTCACTTCCTGCGCCGAAAGTCTTTCAAAAACAAGATGAGGCTTGTGTCCAGCATTGTGATACAAATTTACATTCTTTTTCATCAGCCGTAAAAGTTCACTGTGGGACATGGTCTCCCCAGGAGGAAGGATTTGGCGTCGCGCTTTTCAGGTGGAATTATTATCGAAGTACCAGACGTTTTACACTTTTGACGCTTCTTTTCATCGTCGGACTGGGTAGATTGGGTAAAACTTGGTTATTTTTATTGAAGTGTCGTATAACCCTTATTCGCCTTACGACATACATGGGACTAACTGGCTTGATGGATTCTAACGCCGTCATCACTCGGCTACGTTTTAAAAGCACTACTACTACTACACTACTATATTTTATCAAATTACAACTGATGTGCATTTTCTGGGAGACTTGCTCACGCTAACTACACTGGAGGAGTTTGACCTACTTAAGAAGCGTTTTTTTTGTATCTTGGATAATATAACTATTGTTACCGTGCTGCCGTATTTCGAGAGTTGTACGGAAGAAAATAATTTTTGTTTGGCAAAAAACAAATTAAGTGGTAGTGCTACGCTGAAACTTAAGCATGGCTCAAGTGTGGACGGGTTGGCTCGTCTGGGTAGTAGTACTCGTATAATGATGGGGTAGTTACTTAGTATGGGAAGTAATACGAGGCGTTGAACAACGTGCACTACGTTTACCTAAACGCGGTCTCCACTCTATGACACGCCTACTCCAACGGTTATCGCTTCTGCGACAAATGTGACCAGCCCATTGCTACTTCAGCCTGCAAATACGGAAGGCTACGTCGGTAACCTTGGTTCTCCGGCGGATTTCTTCGTTACGAATCTTATCCACCAGAGAAACTCCGAGCATAGCTCTTTCCATCGCCCGCTGGGTGACTTTGAGTTTGTGGAGTGATCGGAGTAAGGTGACAGCTCATTTGTATTTTGATTCTTAATCCAGAATATATATTTATTTTTTATAAATATATTATTAATACCCTTAGAAGGTATATCTAAATCAGTAATTAAAATCATCTGGACCGTGTGCTCTTTTGTGGTTCTTGTTGATAAACAGGTAGAGCAGCAGGAAAAGGCGAAAAGTTTATCATCTCACGGATCTCTATAATTCCCACAGACCTCTTCCCATTCGAAATACTGCATTTTCCAATCAAGCTCAGTTTTGCGTTTAGCCTATGGGAAAAATCTGTCCTTCTATTATGACTTTTTTGTAGAATGTTCACATATATCTAACGCTCAAAGACTCCAAATATTGGAGTCAAATAGAATGACTTGCAACATTGTCTGCAGTAACATCGTATAAAGTGTTCTGATCGGTATTCTTGGTCAAGGTTACGCTATTTGACAAATAATATATTATATAAAATTCATATCAGGTCCCGTTATATCCAATTATAACTTTCCGAGCGAAGCTTTTTATCTACTATAAACTGGTACAGAAGAGAAAGCGGTAGAGAAATTCGAAATGGAAAAAACGTAAAAACGACAGTAGCGTAATTGTAGGGTGCGGATCGCGAACTCAAAAGCCGTGTTTTTTTGTTGTAGAATAACACAATAGACTAACGAGCACACAGTCCATCTGATAGTAAATGGACGCTACGGCTCATTTAAAAAAATGCAGATGCTTTGTCAGGCCTGAAGTCTAAGACGAAATGCCCCGTTTCCAATAATAAGAGCTTTGGTTTTTTCATTTCACACTACACACTTTTTCGCTATAAGAAACACAGCAGCAATATGCTGCTACTTCACGCCGGTATTCTTTGTGTGGTCCTGCTTTGGTCGAGCTTCACCATTTCTTCTGTAGCCAAAAGCAGAAGCGTATCTTTACCACATAGGAAACCTTGCCTTATAAAGGCATTTGAAATCATGAAGGATACAACTAAAGATTATATTTACAAGATGCGTGAAAATAGTAAAAAGTTCGAACTAAGTTCACAACAATGTCTTTTATGTTTGATTTAGTTTTTGCTTTTTGCTCCATTCATGTCCCTACAATATCAAATACAAACGCTGATCGAATCTAAGAACGTCTTCGGAATAAACTAAATAAAAAATTGGGTTCGTCGACCTGCTCACTATCAATTCTTTCATTACTGTGTTTGCGAGCCAAATAAACATGATAAGCGCAAGGGAAATAACAAAATATCTCGCCCAAGAAAAAATCGTATCGGTTTTTTATCGGGCATTTTGGCGTATCTCCGTCAGACTTAAT